GCCAAAACTACTTATTCTGAGCAAAGGCATTATGCCAAGGTTTACCAGTTGCAAGCTGAATCCTCAACCTGTAAACADGGWAATCGTAGTTTGTCTTCCTATTATTCAGCCCTTACTTCCATATGGAAAGAATTGGATCATTATCAGGCTAATAGAGTGGAAACACGATGACGATGCTAAGGCCTACAGGAAGCTGGTTTCTTAGCAGCGTGTGTTTGCCTTCTTGTTGGGATTGAACCTTGCCTATGAACCTTTGAGAGTTCAAATCCTAGGAAGCAAAGAGTTGTCGTCAGTTCACGAGGTATACTCCCTTGTTCAATCGGAAGAAAGTAGGCGGAGTGTGATGGTTACAACTGAGGTGGAGCAACAAGTTGCTTTGACTGTGATGAGTAATAACAACATGGGGAAGAAAAGTGACACCAAGAAGGCTGATGATAAAGGCAAGTTGTTTTGTATCCACTGTCGGCGCTCACAGCATACGCATGACACATGTTGGGACATTCACGGGAAACTCAAGTGGGCAGTGAAGAACCAAGAACAGGGTAAAGGGCAAGGTCAGAAGAAGATGAACACAACACATAATGCAGCACATGTGGCAACCCAAGATACTCAGGTTGTCGATACTACCCGGGACCACCTTAATAATTCTGACCCCAAGGAAGATATAATGAATTCCTTCAGAGACCACTTGGAGTCTTATGGTAGGGCTTTGCGACAGATGGATAGCTCAGTCACTGGTACTCCTACTTCATTTGCATCTACATCAGGTAATACGACTTTTGCATTCCATGTCACTCCCATTGGTTCCCCTTGGATCATTGACTCAGGGGCCTCTAACCACATGACCGGTAAGTCGAACTTGTTTCAAACTAATAGCCTTTTGTTAGGAAGGGATAAAGTGAGGCTTGCAGATGGCTCATTCTCCTCCATTGCAGGCCAAGGATCAATATCTCTTCCCCATGGCCTTRACCTGAATTGTGTATTGCATGTCCCTCAACTTCCTATAAATTTGCTTTCAATTAGTAGTATCACAAGCTCTTTAAATTGCAGTGTAACATTTTTTCTTGGCTCATGTTTTTTTCAGGACCTAACTTCTGGGAGGACGATTTGTAGAGGGAGCCTAGTGGATGGTCTCTACATTATCGACAACAAAGCTGGTCTCTCGGTGTCATCCTCAGATTCACATAGTCAGTCAAATAAGAGTAAAAATTTTTTGTGGCATAGTTGGTTAGGTCATGTTTCTTTTGAAATAGTAAAGTCTTTGTTTCCGGTTTTATTTAAGTCATGTTCA